ATATTTCAAGAGTTAGCTTCATGATTTTAACAGTATGTAATAGGTTAGTGATTTTAATAGTGGATAAGTTAATTTCAAGTATCAGCCTTAACAAAGAATATTTGAAAAATTGATTTGATAGATTTTTTAGCAAACTGCATTGTGAAGATGTAATCAAGTAAGTTTTTCTAAAAAAAAATTTGATATAATTTCAGTGACTTGGGTAAATAGTTAGTTAAAAGATATTAAATACTATAGTATAACTTATTTGGAAAATACAATTTTAAACTTTTGATATAACTAGCAATAACAATGCTGTATAATTATTGTGCAAAAAAATCATTTTTGCTATAAAGAGAGAATGTGAAATTAAGATTACAGAAGGATAAAAAGCATAACTAACTTATATAGATTGGATAGTATATATTGAAAAATGAAGCTAATAGTTTAAGTGTATTGCAAAAAAATATTATTTATATTAATAAAGAATAATGCAAAAGCTTTTAAATTAACTATTTAAGGTTTTGACTTGTTATAATTTGACCTGTTGAGATTTTAACCTGTTAGGATTCTGACTTGTCGGGATTATCAGGATCTAGAGATGGTAAAAAATTGCTTTTTAATAATTTTTGTGTTTTTTAACTTGATTTAATAAAATATTTAAAATATTGTTAATTATGACACTGATAGATGAAGATAAAATTACTGTATATAATTAGTAATTTTAACTTCAGTATCGCTATGAATTTATTATCTGTTTGTGTTACAAAGATCCAAAGTCAGAAGATTTGAATTTATAATCATGATTATAACTATATAATTATCATTAATCATGATATCAATATTGGTAATGATGTTTTAAAACACTTTAAAGTAATATAAAACTGATTTAAAACATTCTGTTTTAATTCATTTGCTATCCCTATCAGGATCTTAACTGTCAGGATCTTGACTATTTGGAATCTTGACTATTCGGGATTTTGAATATCAGAATTCTATACTGTCAGGATTCTGTCATAGTTGAGATTTTGACATGTCAGTATTCTATCTTAGTCAGAATTATGATTGTCAGGATTATGTATTGTCAGGATTTTAGATGTTAGGATTTTAGATGTTGGGATTTTAGATGTTGAGATTTTGTGGTAGCTCGGTGCATGGGCTGTTCTTAGTGAATCATGAATTTGCGGTTGATATTTTCTACATTTGCTTCTCTTTTGTTTATATCCCGTTATGTGTCCAATTTAACAAATAAATCCCATATTGGATCTGGGAATGTCATTGCGAATACCGATTAAAACAACGACTATTATTCTGGCCTTGATCTTCAGGAGATGTTTTTTTTTTTTATTTATTTATAACGATTTGACTTATTTATTTGACTTCTTTATTTTAAACTCATTATGCGTCAAGTTAAAAGATAAAAGCTTATTTCTGACAAATATTAAAAAGTTTGTTTAATGATATTTTCTTGTCATCCATCCTTTTAATTTGCTAATGGTTATTTTTTTTTTACTATAATATTCTTACAATTATTAAAAACCTATAGGTACCCATCAATAAAAATTATACTTGGCAAACACCACGCGCATGCAATTGTGCATGCGCGTGAGCATCGTGCGCATAGTGCCTATCTCTACCACCAACACATGTCGCACTGTATATCTATTAAATCCCTTCAGCAAGATAAGTGATATCACTAAACTGTTCGTATGGAAAAATTCTATTAGAAAGCCGGCCTTATTTGATTTAACGAGCAAATTACTTATAATTTTATTTCCACTTAATGATACTTGTTCACAAATATTACATTGTTGGGCATCACGATCCTTATGATTTCTTCTTCTATTACATTTATTACACTTTTTATAAATCCTTTCACAACTATTACATGGTTGGGCATCACAATCCTTATGCAATCTTATTCTTGTACAGTTATTACGCTTTTTGTAAAACATAATTTTAAAAGGATACGCGTAGTAAAAATTTAAGTAGGAATATTCTTCGCTTCTGTTAAATATGCATCAATTATAAATCAGGACATAATTTAGCAGATCAGAAATTCTTTCGAATTCTTAGAATAATATAATGTTTACATTTAATCTTATTCATCATGAAACTTAACCCCTGAACTTTGTTTCAGAGATTCAATTATGAAGACAAATATTTCTTGGCATTACTAATATTTAAAAGTATTAGTATTACTGTAAAAAGGAAAAGTCTTTTAATAAGCATCGAAAAATCTGGTTATTCTTATTTAAAATTTAAACTAATATCTTTTTCATTGTGAATATAAAATAGTCAATTTGGTTAAAAAAAAAACATATGAGGCAATGATTACCTAGAGATGTCAAATGATGCCATTAAATAGTCAAAGTTTAATTATCGTTGCATAATAATTGAAATTTATATTAAATCGGTTTTACATCTTTCAACACGTAACTACAGAACTATTGGTGTTATTTTAGTATTTATTTTTAATAAACCTTTATTCAACTGTTATCGTTACTGTATGTTTATGAACTAAAAAGTTTATTTTTAAATTTTGAAAATTTTCTATATACTGTATTGTACAGAAAATTTAATTGAATTTTAATTCTGTAGAGGTAAAATTTCTAAAAATCTGCCGACAATTTTGTAAAACTTATTATACTAGAAGTAAAATTTTACTCTTTTATTATAAGTTGAAGGAAATTTTTGAAACAAAATTGTTTGAATTGTGACTTCTGTATCATACATATATAATTGCAAAGATAATAATAATTTTTTATAATGCTATTAGTCTTTTGCAAATTTTTAAAATTTTTATAATAAGGTCATACAAAATTAATTAATTAGTTTTCATAACCTACATCTGTTTTCATAAATTATGAGACACCTGAAAAATTGCCTATGACCGAGTCGATAAGTTTTTGATGTCGATCAACGTCAATAACTTATTGATGTCGGTCGACGTCAGTAACTTATTAATTCCGGCTCGGTAACTTATCTATTCGGTCATCAGAAAATTTTTTAGTCGTCCAGAATTTATGAATACAGTAATATCCGGTTGGGTTTTTGAAAAAATTTTTATAAAAATTTTATAAGAATTTTACAACTGTTTTCATAATTCCTGGAACGCCTGTAAAAAATTGGCCGAATGAATTTTCGGCCGATCCGGTTAATTTATTTATTTCGGCATTATTATTATTATTATAGATTCAATAAAAATTGGTACGTACGTACCAATTTTATTGAATCTATTATTATTATGCCGAAATAATAAATTAACCGAATCGGCCGAAAATCTTTCATCTAATTTTTTACAGGTGTCCCAGGAATTATAAAACAGCTGTAAACATGAAATTAAAAAACACCGGCCGGCGAGGTCTGTTTAAAAGTTTTATGTCATAAAATCCAAGAAATTAAATTTGTATGATCTAATTAATAATATTTATAGTTGGATGATGGTACTATATTTATATAATGTAATTATTTTTATCAATTTCTGTGCAATATTAATAAAAAAAAAACTTCACGTACGTACGTACGTACAAATGTTAAATCGAATCAAATCATTTAATTTAACCTGCGCATAACCATTTTCAAATTTGATAGTCTCTCCTTTTGCACCTGAATAATAGACCAGCAATTTTTATTCATATTAACAGTGATAGATCACTTGACCCTTTTTATTGATGCTAATTTTAAGCATTCAATTTTTTTTCTAAAAAAATAAAAAATAAAAAACAAATAAAATTTGATTACTGTACAAAGAAGAAAGGACAACCAATAAAATATACAACTCGAAACAAGATTCTAACAATTAAGTATATATGTGTAAATGCATAATTGAAAAACAAACGAGATATAAATTCGTGAAAAAAAGATGTTAACCTAGGAAAAGGCATTTTTCATAAAACAAAAAAAAAGTCTATTGATAACTATTTAAAAGGGGTAACAATTTAAAAAAAGATTAATGTTGAACAAGATCTTCAATCTTTATTGTAGAAGAATCTGGAGGAAGATTTCTACTCCAAGGGTTACAATTTGTATTTTCTGGAAGATCAGGTATATCGGGAAGATAGAAGAATGCAACAGCAATCATAATATAAGACATCTGTAGATAGATAATAAAAAAATAAATTAGTATAATCACGTATAATAAATTATAAAAATAGGTAGAAAAATCAACGAAACATACAATAAGCATATATCCTTCCAACCAATTGGCTTTACCATCAGCGACTAGATAATTAACAATTAATACAGCACAAGCTAACACACAAATTTCCAATACGTTGAAATCCAAAGTTAATGGCCTAGCAGTTGCCCAACCCCCAAGAACAAGAATAGGACCAATTAAAAGAGCAATTTGCTATTATTTAAAAAAATAAAATAAAATTTGAACATTAATAATAAATTAAAATTTAAAGGTTGATTTGTATTTTGTAGCAAAAGAAAGAAACTTACCACAGAGGTATTGAGGACCAAACTAACGGCTCTATCGACCTTATCTTTAGAAGCTTCTTTAATAGCATCATAGTGCTCCATAAAGTTAGAAACAACTATATATATATATATATATATATATATTATTAGTAACAAAATTAGTAACAAAAAAAAAAAGGCAGTCAACACAACATAACCGAATGAAAAGTATAAAAACGTACCACAAAGAGGTATAAGGACCATTCCAATAAAACCGTTACCAAGTTTGAAGTTGTGAGCTAAATGTTCGATACTTGTCACAAGGTATCTTGCACATAAAGTAATACCAAAAACTGACAATCCAACTCTAAGAATAAAAAATGATTTTAATACGAGTATAATACGAGTATAATACGAGTATTGATATGCAAAATTACAAAATTGCAAAATAAGAAGAATTTAAGACGTACAAAAACACATCATATATAAGGAAATATTGAGCTTGTCTTGGAGTATGTTCGTCGGAGTCAATAGCCTAATAAATAAAAGTGAAGATAAATAATAGAGTGAGAAAAAAATATAGTAGACTATCGTAAATAAAAAAATAAAAATGTTTACAAACCTCATTAGCATGAGTCTTCAACTGAAATATCAATAGACCAACGTATACGAGTAATAAAATAATAGCGGTAGCATGACTGATATTTTGAACATCACATTCAATACCAGTGCCGGCAGGAGCAGCTATCTTGAATGCGGCAGGGGTCACGAGAGCAAGAACAGCAAGAGCAAGTGTTGAAGCACTAGTTGATACCCATAATTGAGTACTCAAATGGGCATTAATGGATTCACGACGTTTCCTTGGCCATGAACCAGCCAAAAAGACTATACCAAGAATCTATAAAATTCAAAAACCAGAAATGATTAAATAGACAATACATAATTAAGTAATTATAACAAGTTTTGCTCACCAACAATATGTTACACAAAATAGCGCCAAGTAAAGATGAACGGACAATGGAATAGTTTCTATCTCTTAAAGCATAACCTAAAATAATCATTTCGACAAAGTTTCCAGCGCAAGCATGTAGAACTACACCATATGCCTATCATCAAATAAGAAATAATAATATTACTAAAAAGAAATGCTTTAAAAAAAGTTTTGATTAGTTTTTTTTTCTTACCGGAGGCAATCTGGTCGCGAAATCATCAATTCCAACAGTCATAATTTTGGATAACGGAATAATTGCCAAAAAATTAAAGACAAACACTAAAGTAGCACTGAATTCATATCTCTTCAGAATAATAGCGGGAGGTAAAAAAATCAACAAAAAGTTTGATTTGAAGGCAGTCAAAACGGCTTTAGTATTTCTATACCACTTGACGGCATCTTTAGAAATAACTTTTTCATGTTGAGTTTTAGCAATAGCTTTTTCAGAGTCATTAACCTCATTGTCTGGAATGTCTGATTTAATTGGGACTTCATAAAAATTAATGTTATGATTGTTGTTGGTATCATCTTGTGTTCTTGTAGGTATAGCATTATTTGTGAATTCGTTATCAGATCTTACTGGGTAATGTGTTTCGTAATTCGGATATTGATATGATTCCATTCTTTATTAATTGACTAAAGGTTACTTCTTTTATTAATTTTTTTATTAATTGACTAAAGGTTGCTTTTTTTTTATTAATTGACTGAAGGTTGCTTTTTTTTTTGTGAGATACTTTTCTTTGGAAGAAATTTAACAGTCTAGATAATTAAAGGACCGTATAAATGATTAAGAATTCTTTATAATAATTATAATAATTAAGAAATGGAAAAAATCGAAATTTTTTCTTTTTCTCGAAATTTTTTCTTTTTCTATTGAAATATACAAACGTTGGCCAAAAGACAATTATATATTTTAAATTGCATTTCTATGCGCAGTTAACCCTTAATTTGTTGATAAAATTAATTAATCCTTGATGTTCATGTGGTACGACATTATGTTCGATTGTGTACAGTATATTTGATAAAAATAAATATTCGCGATTTCCAAATTTGGTACAATTACAACCACATTTTTGTATTAGCTAAAAAATCGAAATTAACTATGCATAACGATAACGTATTAGTACGTATGCAATAAGTTTATAGTAAGGATTTCGTGTAACCATTCATCATTTATTGAAAATGACTGAAACCATTTCCGTTATTTGATGTTCATTTAAACTAATTCCCAATTTAAGTTATGAAACTAAAAAGAAGGATTTATGGAGAGATTGACAATTTAATTATTGTTAAAACCACTTGTTTCTATTCACTATATATAGACTTGCTTCACTATATATAGACTTGCTTTTAAAAGTTTAAATAAGTTAAAATTTCGTTATTATACCATATTAATCGTCAAATATACGAATATGATAATAAAAAGGAATTTACTAGTCATTTTTAATAACTATTAGTTATTTTTAACAATAAACAATATGCAAACTCTTAGTTGTTGACGAAAAAGGGTTAATAATCGGTCAAAGTTTGTAAATTGTTTGCAAACACAAATTTGCCAAGAAATCTTGTTATGTAGCTTACAAATATTTATTTCTAGAAGCATTGTGTAATGTGCATTAATCATGTCATATTGATGTGGATTTAAAAGGACGAATTTATAGTTATAGATTATTATAGATTATAGAAGATTCTAGGATAATGTTTAATCAGAAATGAAGTAATAAATATTTACGTATGTACATACATGCTTATAAGGGCATGTAATCATCTATTAACCGATTGGTTATCAAGTCTTTTAATAAAAAAAAAAGATCAGAAAAAAAAGTGCATTCTATATGCACGAGTCAAAATTTTAAATTTTAATTATTGTATTAAAATGACTTAGTAAGTTTAATCTTGTGTAACATTATACTAAAACTGCAGTAATGTTGTACGCACACATCACAAATTTTGATTACGTATTTATTTCTAATTCAGTATGTATATTTTACAAGTTTATTTTTCTACTTCATGTTTGTTTTACACATATCAACAATGTTTAAAACAAATGTTTTTAGACCCGTGGGTCGATAGCGCAGTGGTTAGCGCTCCCGGGTCACAATCGCAAGGTCGCGAGTTCGAGTTTACTGGGTGACGAACGGCTCTGCCAGGACCACGATTGGC